CCGATGCGGAAATACCGTCTAACAAAAAACGTATGGAGCACCTCCGTGAACACATACTACTGTTGTATAAAGCCCGTGGAAGGTCTCTGTTCAAAGACACGCTGCAAAGCTGCATATTGGAGATCTGTACACAAGAAGCCGCTAGCTAAACTCTGCGTCTGAAAACTAGAGAAAGCGCGTCTGGTGAGCGGGGCTTCAGTGTTTCAGCGTTGGCGGTATGAACGCACCATAAGCCGTGTTCAGATCATGCGTTGCGTCTGCTTTCAATGCAAAGTCAACGGTGACGCGCGTTGACCTCTCGGCACACATGCACGGACTGTTCAGTAGAGACGCACGGACTGTTCAGTAGAGACGCACGGACTGTTCAGTAGAGACGCACGGACTGTTCTGTAGAGACGCACGGACCGTTCAGTAGAGACGCACGGACTGTTCTGTAGAGACGCACGGACTGTTCAGTAGAGACGCACGGACTGTTCTGTAGAGACGCACAGACTGTTCTGTAGAGACGCACGGACTGTTCTGTAGAGACGCACGGACCGTTCAGTAGAGACGCACGGACCGTTCAGTAGAGACGCACGGACTGTTCTGTAGAGACGCACGGACTGTTCAGTAGAGACGCACGGACTGTTCTGTAGAGACGCACAGACTGCTCTGTAGAGACGCACGGACTGTTCAGTAGAGACGCACAGACTGCTCTGTAGAGACGCACGGACTGTTCTGTAGAGACGCACAGACTGCTCTGTAGAGACGCACGGACTGTTCAGTAGAGACGCACGGACTGTTCTGTAGAGACGCACGGACCGTTCAGTAGAGACGCACAGACTGCTCTGTAGAGACGCACGGACTGTTCAGTAGAGACGCACGGACTGTTCTGTAGAGACGCACGGACCGTTCAGTAGAGACGCACGGACCGTTCAGTAGAGACGCACGGACTGTTCTGTAGAGACGCACGGACTGTTCAGTAGAGACGCACGGACTGTTCAGTAGAGACGCACGGACTGTTCAGTAGAGACGCACGGACTGTTCTGTAGAGACGCACAGACTGTTCAGTAGAGACGCACTGACTGTTCAGTAGAGACGCACGGACCGTTCAGTAGAGACGCACGGACTGTTCTGTAGAGACGCACGGACCGTTCAGTAGAGACGCACGGACTGTTCAGTAGAGACGCACAGACTGTTCAGTAGAGACGCACGGACTGTTCAGTAGAGACACACGGACTGTTCAGTAGAGACGCACGGACTGTTCTGTAGAGACGCACGGACTGTTCTGTAGAGACGCACGGACTGTTCTGTAGAGACGCACGGACCGTTCAGTAGAGACGCACGGACTGTTCTGTAGAGACGCACAGACTGTTCAGTAGAGACGCACTGACTGTTCAGAGAGACGCACAGACTGTTCAGTAGAGACGCACGGACAGTTCAGTAGAGACGCACGGACTGTTCAGTAGAGACGCACGGACTGTTCTGTAGAGACGCACAGACTGTTCAGTAGAGACGCACAGACTGTTCAGTAGAGACGCACGGACCGTTCAGTAGAGACGCGCACGGACTGTTCTGTAGAGACGCACGGACTGTTCAGTAGAGACGCACGGACTGTTCTGTAGAGACGCACAGACTGCTCTGTAGAGACGCACGGACTGTTCAGTAGAGACGCACAGACTGCTCTGTAGAGACGCACGGACTGTTCTGTAGAGACGCACAGACTGCTCTGTAGAGACGCACGGACTGTTCAGTAGAGACGCACGGACTGTTCTGTAGAGACGCACGGACCGTTCAGTAGAGACGCACAGACTGCTCTGTAGAGACGCACGGACTGTTCAGTAGAGACGCACGGACTGTTCTGTAGAGACGCACGGACGTTCAGTAGAGACGCACGGACCGTTCAGTAGAGACGCACGGACTGTTCTGTAGAGACGCACGGACTGTTCAGTAGAGACGCACGGACTGTTCAGTAGAGACGCACGGACTGTTCAGTAGAGACGCACGGACTGTTCTGTAGAGACGCACAGACTGTTCAGTAGAGACGCACTGACTGTTCAGTAGAGACGCACGGACCGTTCAGTAGAGACGCACGGACTGTTCTGTAGAGACGCACGGACCGTTCAGTAGAGACGCACGGACTGTTCAGTAGAGACGCACAGACTGTTCAGTAGAGACGCACGGACTGTTCAGTAGAGACACACGGACTGTTCAGTAGAGACGCACGGACTGTTCTGTAGAGACGCACGGACTGTTCTGTAGAGACGCACGGACTGTTCTGTAGAGACGCACGGACCGTTCAGTAGAGACGCACGGACTGTTCTGTAGAGACGCACAGACTGTTCAGTAGAGACGCACTGACTGTTCAGTAGAGACGCACAGACTGTTCAGTAGAGACGCACGGACCGTTCAGTAGAGACGCACGGACTGTTCAGTAGAGACGCACGGACTGTTCTGTAGAGACGCACAGACTGTTCAGTAGAGACGCACAGACTGTTCAGTAGAGACGCACGGACCGTTCAGTAGAGACGCACGGACTGTTCTGTAGAGACGCACGGACTGTTCAGTAGAGACGCACGGACCGTTCAGTAGAGACGCACGGACCGTTCAGTAGAGACGCACGGACTGTTCAGTAGAGACGCACGGACTGTTCAGTAGAGACGCACGGACTGTTCAGTAGAGACGCACGGACTGTTCAGTAGAGACGCACGGACTGCTCCGTAGAGACGCACGGACTGCGCGGGAAAGTCGAAGGGGAGGAGCAGAAGCGGGAAATGGACGCCCACAGGAGATAAACTTTACTCAACCTTTCCTCGGGACGTTTGTGCAGCGACCAATCAGAGAGCCGCAAAGTGGTCACAGGGACATTAGTGTCTGAGCGAGCAGACTGAAAATACTGTAAACAGCCAAAACAGGAACTATACCAGAACTCAAACCAGGGTTGACAATGGGGGACTCTGTGCTTGTGAATATATGCGTTGTCATGCTCCCGTGACCTTATGCAACTGCTTTGAGTGTGTTTAATAATAAAATAAACTTATTGTGCACCTCCGTGAACACATACTGCTGTTATATAAAGCCCGTGGAAGGTCTCTGAACAAAGAGACCCTGCAATGCTGCATTATTGGAGAAGATTTGTACACAAGAAGCCGTTAGCATAGCCCTATTAGCATCAGAGCCGGCTACTTCCGGCGCTGGTCAGGACGTTCTGGTGTGAAGACCCTTGCGTCTGAAAACTAGAGAATGTGCGAGAGGAGAGCGGGGCCTCAGCGTTTGAGGTCTGAACGAATGCATCTCTTTTACCAATGCAGATGGACTGAACACACATTAGACACTTCCATGTGAACAAAAACAGACACAGTTGTTTTGTTGATATCTTTATATATTTAAAGTCATTATGTATACACAAAGCATCTACACTATAACAACTCCACACATTGATAATATATTTGTTGAATTATAAAGCTAAGTTTTGGCATTTTTAAACCAAACAGCAGTCTGAGTGAGGAGCATGGTTCAAACTATCATAAAAAGAAAAACAAAAAGATGATTAAATGGTGTCACGCAGCAGGTACGCAACATTAGTAATAATCACACTTTTAAGAACAACGAAAGTCAGTCATAGTTTTTACAACTCAGTGCTTTTGAAGGAAGCATGTTTCTGTTTACCTCCTTTGGCTTTTTCTTTACAGTACAAGTACGTGTGGGCTGGTGAGTTATGACTTATGAAATCAGTAGGAATGTTTTTAAGCCACACTTGCCGTAGACATTAGGGTGAAATAAATCCGTTAGCGCCGTTACTGCGGCAACCGTAGGACCCAGATAATAATCATCAAGTCAAATTAAGGAGTCAAAAGTGAATAAATAATAAAAGTCCAATTACAGTTTTAAATCAATGTTTAGATTTAGCTGAAGAATGAAATAGGTCACATGTACAATGATAGTTTTATTACAATGTTATAAACCTGATCCTAAATGCTTTAATTTTTAAGGGGGGCACTTAATTATTAATATTCTTTCTCTACTGAAGCCGCATCAGGGGAAGGCAGAGTGCTTGTTCTGCAGCTGATGTGGAAAACAAAGAAAATTAATCAAGTACTCACCACCTGTAATCAACTACATGAGTTTGAGGGACTGAAAACATCAGTGGTGTGAGCCAAATGTAGACGGAGCATTCTGCTTTCTGAAACGCAGTTTTCTGCAAAGTGCCAAATAAAACCTTGACAGACAATGCCAAGGTCACAAAAGTAACTGGTCATAAACAATAAACATATGACGGAACATGTATTTTCTTTTATGTATATATAAAGATCATTACTTTAAAACATGTGAGCTGAGTTAAACAGACTTTTATCCAAACATGCACCTTTTGTAAGATGTGAACTTTCAATCTTGTGCTGAAATGCAAACCATATAAACCTCAACTTGTAATTGCAGCTCCACCTGCACGTTTGACATTGCACTGTACAGCGGATTCTCCCACGATGCTTTTAATCATGTTCTTAGACATGTCCTTTACACAAACTTTGACATTCAATCATTTTGACTCTCTCAGACACACCACACTAATATTCTGTTAGCACACTTTGATACAAGCATAAAAAAAGTCTTCAACGAAAATTAGAAAAGCTCTGTTTGACAAGGTGGCGATTAACACTCGTACCTAAAAAATCAACAAAACTTAGTTTGTGCCAGTAGTTTGAGAGGATCACGCATTGAGAGAACAGAGAGTCCAAGTTCAAGCTCCTTTGCTTAGATTTCAGCAGGACTTAGACAAACCAGAGCAGTCCATGTCCTCTGAAGTAACATTACTTCATATTAGGTTTTCCAGCCCCTCCTCATCAGCGCAGCCTGCTGCAGTCTTTTGGGTTGGGGAAAGAAATGGCTAAGACGTACGAGATCAAGAGAAACGAAAAGAGACACTTGAAAGATTTTAGAATGATCCGTTTTCACCGTCTAGGATTTACCATGACACTTCTTGAACACTTCTCCAGACAGTGGTTTCTGTGGAGGATGGTCGATTATGACGTCTCCTTCCCCTGTGTCCCAGTGACTGTCTTGATGGAGCTTAGAGTTCGGTTGAACCAGGTTTTCTTGGCAGCCTGCACCTCGTTCAGGGCGAGTCCCAGCGTGTGCTCCAGATCCTGTGGGAAGCAGACAGACCATGTCAGGCTTCAGTGTGCCTGTGCAGAGCCTTCTATCAATCATACCTGGATTTTACACTCAGCCTCCACCAGTTGAAGTTTGGTCTGAGCCAACTCCAGCTCCATCTCTCTCAGCTGGTTGTTTAAAACCTCTTTTTCTTCATCAGCCTCCTCGGAGCCTCCAGAGGGAGCTGAGCTTACTGTGGCCCTCACACGACCCTCTTTGTTGAATAGATTGCTGCACTTATCACAACCCTCTACTTTGGACTAACAGGGAAAACAGGCAGTTATTTAGTATTTTCTGTATTATACGAGGCTCCAAATGTTTGTGTGGGTTCTAAAGTAGATGGGATTAGTGTAATAGGTCCCACTTGGAGATGGAGGACTGACATTCAAAATCTACCTGTGTATTTTGACAGGCGTTTGTAGGGCTGTGCTTTGAACGTCAGCAGAAATATTTTAACTGGATGTCATTAAAATATGCGCCTACTCCATCCATCCCCTTTTCAAACCTTGTTCAAAACTATCTGTGATTGTCAAGATATGTGAAAAATGTGTTGGGAAGGGTTTGAAATAGAAAAAAAAATCAACCAATTAAATCAATCAAAGGACTTGTACGACTCCTCACACTTTTCACGATGAAGTGTAAAATGAATCTAAAGTGTCCAATGTATCATACAAGCTCTGTACCTATCGACATATGGCGTTTGAATACCCAGCAGTTTTACACTTTTATGTGATGAGATTAGTTTTTCTCTTTTATTCTGTGCAATTCTCTGTTCTCCCCAAGTGCCCCTCTAACAAAAAAACACAAAACGTTTCTCATGGCTGGCCTGATGGCTGCTAAAAAGATGATTGCCTCAGTTACTTTCTTACGGTAAAAGGGTAATGTCATTTATTGGTATCGTCCTTAAAGACCTTATGCCGGGTTTTTTAAATTTTTATTGTGGATATTAAAATTGCATGACAATGTCGATCTGAAATAGATTCCGGCAAAAAAATTCCTATATTTTATAAAAAGAACGCGTTTTTCATGAATTTAAGTCGTCTATGCTCTAACCTGTGTGTGACGTCACAGCGGGTAACGCCCATGCATTGAAAACCATGGATCTATGCCACAGGACTGCCTTTTCTCTCTTCTCTCCACTGGTGCCCAACACAATACTGCCCTCTACAGGTGACAATTGCTCACTACACATAAATTGCTGTTTTGAGAGTGAAAAAGTGTCTGAGGTGGGATTTGAACCCAAGTATCTGGATTGACAGTCCATCGACACAACCACTGGACTATCTCAGTGACAACGAAGGGTCACAGTCTAGTATTAATCTCATACTCGCTCTAAACGGCCTTGTCATCTTGAATATCCGCGAAAAAAGAACGAATACCAAATTGTAAACAACTTACAGCGTTGAAACGTACCCGCTCTGACGTCACCAAGGGCTGTGAAGTTTTTCGTCTCTAAGGGCGTTGCTATGGGGTTATTTCGATTTGGGGGGATCAGACAAAAAAAACAACAACTGATTTTGAAACCTTTAGTATTTTTCTTCTAATATAAAATGGTATTAAAACTGTATTTATAAATAAATCAAACCCGGCATAAGGTCTTTAAGTAAACAAATCTTGAGTTTTGTTTATGTTGTACAGATTTATTTTTACATTTTCTATTATTGCCCTGGACCTGTATGTGCATGTGTTTGTGATTAGTTCATTAAAAACGTTAACAGCAGAGTTGAGTCGTTGATCTCTTTTCAGACTTACCCGGATCTTCTCCAGCTCCCCAAGAGTGGCCGTCTGCTGCTTCTCCAGTCGTTCACTAAGCTGAGAGCAGATCTGTAAAAATCAAAAATGTGTTTTGAAATTATCTTTTCAGAGGCAAAAACTAAGTGTCCCCACAAAATATAACAAGTTAAAAACAGTTTCAAAGGTGGTATGTTTTCTTATACAACCAGAATGTTTGTTACACATAAATAGGACACTACTTTAAAGCGACTGAATGACCTCAGCCTTTCCTGACCTCAGCCTTTCCTGACCGTAACAATCAAAAGCCCTTTTTCTGTCTCGAAGCGCTTTGAAAATTGTAAAGGATCAAGGTTAAAATTTATTTGTAGAGAAAGCATAGACCTAAATATGAAGTGTTTTGAGACGCTTCAAAAGCCAGATTGGAAAAGTTGTTTTGTACAGAAGAACTCCCACAGAATGTAATAAAAAAAAAAAAATTATTGTAAAGAGCTATTTTTTAAACGGGGGCGACAGTAGCTCAGTTGGTAGAGCATTGGCCTTAAGGCCAGAAGGTCGTGGGTTCAATTCCCACATCTGCACCTTCTCCATCGACTCCCACTGATGACTGCTGTCGTTGTGTCCTTGGGCAAGACACTTAACCCCACTTTGCCCAAAGCCCCCACTGAAAGATCAAGGCTATGCTCACTCTCAGAGAGCAGCCTCCTGTGGACTCACCACCTGCAGAGGGTCAGTGAGGGGCTGGTGCTATGAGACTTGGGTGGCATCTCTGACTGCCACCCCCCTGACCCAGAAATGGATTAAAGGGTAGAAAATGGATGGATGGATATTTTTTAAACCACAATTATTGCCCTAAGAAGCAGACATGTTTATTTTATTTTTAACACTACCCTATCTTAATCAAGTAACACTAGCGAGATACGGTGCATACCTAAAACAGTATATGTGCTATTTTGTAGGCATTTAGTATTCAAAAGCTCACATGTTTTTAGTGGTGCAAGTCTAATATGCAAATGAGTTCAAGGGGCAAGCAACTAATGCAAATTCTTTCTTTTACAATAATGAGCAAGTTGGAGAGACTCAAAGCTCAGACGACTAAATTATCCAACAATACTGTATATTACAAAAAAGACTGTCCTTTAAACATGTAAACCATTTTTTAATTGCACTGGTTGTGACTATTCAGGCAGAACATAAATGTGTTCTGTGATGGGAGACCAGGAACGCCTGGTGCCGCGTGGCAGCTGCGGCTGTAACGTGTCCTTAGGCAGCTCACCATTGCCTAGTAAGAGTCTGAGGTGTGCATGAATGATTGGATGGTGTTCAGAGGGGCCAATGGCACATGCCTCGCTCCTGTCAGTCTTTCCCAGGCTAATGTAGTTTATTACTGCAGTGAATCGAGTGAACTTAAAGCATGTTTGAGTGCCCAAAAAGACGCAATGCAAAAACAATTATTGGGGCGACAGTGGCTCAGTTGGTAGAGCATTGGCTTTGAGCCTAAAGGTCGTGGGTTCGATCCCACCACGAGAGCTACTCCCATATATACCTTCTGTTGTTGTGTCCTTGGGAAAGACACTTAACCCCACTTTGCCTGATGCCCGCGCTGAAATATCAAGCCATGCAAATGTGCCATGCGAATTGGGTGCAGCTCTGACTGTCACCCCCCGACCAAGAAATGGATTAAGGGGAAGAAAATGGATGGATGCATTACTATCATACAAAAATGTGGACGGCAATATTTTCAATGCAAATTAATCCGCTCTGTCAAACTATTTCTGCACAAAGTTATAGCAGAGCCAGCCCGTTTCCTCAGATGCTCGGTCAGCTTCTATCAGAGTCATTTTAGACGCCGTGGTGTTCTATATTAGGTTCGTTTCCATTTTTGTAATGAACCATTGTGAAACGCTACAACAATTACATGTTAGTATGTAATGGCAGCAGGTTTACAACTTTATTTAAAGTATAAAGCCGTAAAGATGGCGCCGTGGCAAGAGCTCTGGTGTGTGTCGTCCGGTGCACACTGGGGTAGTCTTGCAGTTTTTCCAATGTGGTTTTACTGCAAATGGCAAATAAATGAATCTGAATCTGAATCTTATTTTATTTTTTGAATAATAATAGAATCATGTATCATTTTTCTCTCACTTCACAGTTGTCTGTTTCTTGTGTGTGAACTTTCTGAGAAAAAAATAAAATAAAAATCTTTTTTATCATATTGATGGTTGTAAACATACTGTTGGGATTTAAGGCTATAAAAAATGAATTGAATTGAATGGAATGACAAAATCTGCAAACATTAATTTAAGATAGAAATTTACTCAAGTTCAAGGTGTATTAGTACTTTTGAGAAACACTGTATTTAAGACATCTATGGATATTTATCAACATTTATGAATATTGGTCATCTGCCCCTTATGGACCAAAGGCTCTTAGTGTTTTTTTATCATTGCATTTCTTGTGTTTGAACTGTTTGATTCTCTGATCTGTGTTGGTGAATTCAACGGTTTTGTTAAGTCCTCCAAGATAACTACTGTTTTAATTTTGGGCTAAACAAAAATAAAGTGAATTTAATTGAATTGAAGAGGAAAGTAAAGGTGCAAAAAAACTGCCAGAAGTAATATTATGACGTTTTAGCATGAACTCAGTTATTCATTGAAAGTCTCCTGTATCTAGTTATGCATCATGTGAGAGATAGCCAGCCCTTGTTAATATACAATTTTGAATACCAAGCTAAAGTGATGCCCCTGTAACACGTGCCTTTTGCAACATTGATCTTTTAGCCTAGCCTTTAGAATTCAGCTGCCACAAATAAACTTGACGATTCCTTGCATCTAATTCTAAAGCTGAAACCATCTGTTACCAGTCAAGGACATTTTCCTGTGTGACCTGGGGGCATTGATTCAAATTAACATCTATAATCAAATGCATCGCTATGAATCCATTTACTATTTGAATTCCTACAAATCAATATGTGTGTACGCTGTAAATGTATTCTGCTGGGATCAGAAATAATACATGCTACCAATGACTGAAGATCTGATTTTTGTAAATCCCTTATTCTAGTCATTTACGCAGGGGCTGCGATATATCGATAATGGCTGTGGGATCAAATCTGTTTCCAAGCCAGACAAGGAAAGAATGAAATGTTCTGACCACTATGCAAGATCAAACACAACTTTTCTTATATCAAATTAAGGCAGCAAAAAGGTTTTTTCAGTTGTAAAATAAATCCTTCCTGAGGGCCTACAAAATCTGGAAGTGCTGTGTAAAAATGAGATCGTTTAAGGCCAATTCATGTCAAGTGCTGTTGTGTATTCAGAAGTGAAAGTGGGCAGAATAATGTGGACAGACAAACAAGATTCCTGATGTTCTCACCTGCTTATATTCACCAATGATGGAGCCGTTCTTCTTGATTTCAGATTCGGACTTGTCTAGCTCTCGTCTACACATCTCTTTGAGCTGTTCACAAACAGGTAATGTTTAGAGATGAGGACACAGAGGAAGGACACAAGACCCCAGAGACATTGTGACTGATACGTCTGACAGTGCTGTGTAAGCACGAGCATTGGCCTTCTTTAAAACATAGACACATGTGGAGGTCAGTGGAGCACCCATGGGAGTCATCAGCCCTCTGCCCTGAGGAGCTCCATCTGACCTACACACAAGAGACAGGGTGACCTCCACAGCCGTGAGAGAACCACTGATCACCAGGATAATCCTCTGCCTCTGGGAACTGGCATTGATAAACACTTACTGGGTTGATTACTTGGGTGATTCAAAGAGGCAAGTTACAAAGAACATTATTTTTGATAAGATCATGCCACAGTGGGGAAATGTTATTTTGCATTGCACTTCACACACAGGTGGAATAAAGTGCAGACAAAAACAAGGTTGATCTTTAGCCTAATTATTAAGCTATGATATACACTAGAACCTAAAATATACATACATATTTAAGATATCGATATATAAGAATATCTATGGAAAAAGAATCATGCTTTCAGACTAATATTCACAGTGATGCCGATACTGTACATGAGGCAGCAGAATAAGGATAGGTCAGTACGATGAGGGGTTGCATTACTTCTCAAAACTAAATTAAAAATACACAAACTAATCAATGACCTTTCTGTTTACTATGGCTGGGCAAAACAATTGATTAGTTGGCTTAATCAACATAACAAAAAGTCCAAAAAACCACCCACACCTTATAGATACTTTATTGATCCCCGTAGGAGAAATTCAGGATTATGAGCCTCTTTCATGACACAGTGACCATGACTTGAATTTAAAACTTTGAATTTTTACGTCCATATAATAATAGGAGGAAATAAATTGATAATCATGCAAGTGCTATTATAATTGATTGCACATTATAGGACACATCTGCAGAGGATCTGATTATGGATATAGGGTCAGTATATAAATGATTATGGATATAGGTTCAGTATATAAATGATTATGGATATAGGTTCATATATAAATGATTATGGATATAGGTTCATATATAAATGATTATGGATATAGGTTCATATATAAATGATTATGGATATAGGTTCATATATAAATGATTATGGATATAGGTTCATATATACATGATTATGGATATAGGTTCATATATAAATGATTATGGATATAGGTTCATATATAAATGATTATGGATATAGGTTCATATATAAATGATTATGGATATAGGTTCAGTATATAAATGATTATGGATATAGGTTCATATATAAATAGAGGCTTGATTCTGAGGCTCCGCAAAAACAAACAACTGAGCATGAGCAGCTACGAGCATCAGCGCTGATGATTGACAGCCCTTGGCATCACCTGATTGGTTAACCTCGACGGCACCGTGGATTCTGAGCTATAGCTAAGAGAAGGGAAGGCGGGACTTATCCGTAAATTACATCTCATAAAGTGACTTATTTTATAGCAACATTTAAGGCCAGGAGGTCAATTTAATACAATTCTTTAAATTTGTAATTCATTTAGAGTTCCAGACTGTCACTTTAAAAGAGGTTGAAGTGCATGTGTGCTTTCAAAGCCTCTCACCTGTGCAGACTCTTCCTCCAGACGTCTCTTTTCATCCTCTGACTCCACAAGCTTTTGTTTGGTCAGCAGTAATTCTTTATTCAGAGCATCAGACTTCTCCTCGGCCTGGGAAGTGAAAATGACACACACTGTAACTTCTGCACAAAGGGCCACAGCGACACCAGCCACAGTACTGTACTGTCCCACACAGACTTTACATATTCAAGCATTTATGAGATTTTTTCAGAAACATGAGGTGAAATAGGAAAAAAGTGGAGCGTGGCCAAAAAAATAAAACAAAAATAGTGAATAGAATAATATAAAATAAATATAGAGAACCCAAGGTGATTCAGTGGAAGGGCATGTGTAACAGGATTCAGCTCCACATCCATCTCCCACTTGGCCCAGTTTATTATTCCTAATAAATGTGTTTCTTTTTTGGTTTAATTCAACTTTGTGCAACCTGAAATTGCAACATGGGTTCATTTTCTCCATAGCAGGTACCCTTTGTGCTTTAACCACTCTCTGCTGTTTAATTGAGACATTTGTAGGATTCAAGAAGGGCATTACAGAATATAGTCCTAAAATATTTGGCCATAAGATTGTAAATGAGATGTGTGGCTGGAGTGAAATTTAACTGAGTGGAGGCCCTAGTCTGGGGCACGCCAGACTCCTTATAGGAACTACACCTAATTTATTTTATAATGAGTTGAAATGCGAATTACTACAAGTTGTATTTAAAATCCATAACTTAATTGAAAACTTGAGTTAATTGATTCAGTTTGTGTATGAATTCAGGCTGTAAAAAGTGCTGAGTAGAACATTTGCGTGACATTGCGTACGGTTACAAACAGGCTCCGTCCTCTAGCATCTGCAGCGCAAGTAAGTAAGTAATCTTTATTTATATACCGCCTTTTCACTGCAGATCTGAGTCTCAAAGCGGTTTACAATTGTTAATTTTGGGCACTTGTCTCTCACTCCACACACAGATGGGAGCGGGGCCAGTACAGGAGGCACATGCCAGACATGCCTATTGGACATATTTTCAGTGGTAGGAGAAACCGGAGTACCCGGAGGAAACCTACGCAGACACGGGGAGAACATGCAAACTCCACTCAGAAAGGCCCTGGTCCGACCGGGATTCGAACCCAGGACCTTCTTGCTGAGAGGCGAGAGTGCTATCCACTCAGCCGCCGTGCCACCGAGTAAACTCCGGCTGTAACTGCATACACAGCAGAACAGCCAAAACAACGCAAAAGTGAGGAGGAGAAGAAGAGGGAACTAAAGCGAAAACATGATCAAAGAAGAAATCAAGCCGGGTGGATATGTTTAGCTAACATCGTATCCTCGCTGGAGAGACCTGTGGGCGCGGGACCGCCTCGGACCACATTTGGACGCAAAACTAGCGGTAATCTTTCAGTTATATATTTTGTTAGCAGTGCGTTGCTTTTGTACCATTTCATCAGTGATTGTTTTACAGCTTACAAGAAGTTGCGCTAATGCTAATGTTAGCATACGTATCAGATCGCAAATAAAAACTAGATGGCTCCGTGAGAGGAGGGCGTAGGGGAAATGAGAAGCGTGTGAGCGAGTTGGGGGCGGGGCTAAACATTCAAACTGAAAAAGAATTGGGTGGAGTCTGTTGTGCTCCTGCTCAGTGTTGCCAACTTAGCGACTTTGTTGCTAGATTTAGCGACTTTTCAGACCCTATAGCGACTTTTTTTCAAAAAAGCGACTAGCGACAGATCTAGACAAAGCATTAAAATCATTAAATGTTGTTAATGTTGAAATTATTTGTGTACATTTGTAGTTCTAAACATATTTAGGGTGTTTTTTACTCACTTTTGTCTCTCCCACGACGTTATTCCTCTCTCCTACAGCGTCCGTTACAATTATTTGCAAATAGCCAATTATGCAAATTAGGCGATGACGTCATTTAGCGACTTCTAGCGACTTTTGGGACAGCCAATAGCTACTTTCCTTACTGAGGAGTTGGCAACACTGCTCCTGCTTTGTTGGAATGACATCTTGCTGCCACACTAGCCATGTTGGTGCCAGCCTGGCTACATGAAATGTGCATTTTGGATGGAATTTGCATTATGGTTGATACACTTTGGAGCATGCAAAACTAGCAAAGTATTTACAAAGGGTTGTGTTTCACCAAATAAACATAATAACTATAGCTTCAGTAACGGGTCTTAGTACTTTAACCATTGCTGAGTGACATTATCTGACTCGGAGCAGGTGAATTCCAATCCGAAGCCAATACTTACATTGTCGAGGTCTTTGCGCAGAGCTATCTTGCTGCTCACCAGCTCATGTGCCAAGTCATCATTTTCCTGCTCCAGGCGCATGTTGGCCTCCTGTAGCCGTCGATTCTCACGCTGGACGGCAATAAGACGTACGAGAAAGCCACAAACAGTGAAGGAAAGTTAATCATCAGCGCTTGAAGAAAAGGAAAAGGTGTGGAATACAGGGGCCATCTGTAATTATAAACCAACTAGTACATCATTAACATTAGCACGTCTCCATCACTGAATTTCATGAGCAGAAATTATTTGCAAAAGCCAACAATAGGTGTGTTATATTTATGCAAATATAAATATAAACTTAACTATCAACGTCAAATTGTGACTCCGAGAGCATTTTCTTGCATGCAAAAGTATTCTAATAGGACCAAGACAGGAAGTTGTGATCTAATTTGTTCAATACTTTATGACAGCTTTAGTGGCGTCACAAAGACAACATATGTGGAGGAAATTGAAAATGTATTTAAAAGTATTATTCCCACTTCATATATTACATTTGTGATGACTACCTCATATCTCTCAATGGGTGCTTCCTGCTGTTCCTGCTGCTCCCGAAGTGTGTGATACTCCTTCTCAAACTTCTTTAGCTTTTTCTGGCTTATCTGTGAACATACAGATGATGATGGAAAACAATCATAAAAGCATAAAAACAAACACAAAAATCTATGTGAGCAATTTTGTATGTATGGTTTCTCTCATAACATAAATAACAACAGTATTTGGAAATACATGGACCAATACTACCAAAACTACATCTAAACTTCTCTTCTGAACTATAGTTAATCAATGCAAAAAGAAAAATGAATTATCAATTTATCTTATCTTAATCTTTATCTACATTTCAATCCACATAATAATAATATGGAATTTTCATTATACATGGTCCACCAGCCCCCCCTGAAGGACGGTCATGTATTTGCAGAGAGTTTGCGTACACACAATCTAGTTTTAGTCTATATATACACATTTAAATTCTCTCACCTTCATGCTACAAGCCAGCTCCATCAGCTTTTTTGCATTTTCTTCAGAACGGTATCTTTTTGGGACTGGAACCCGAAAGAATTTAAGAGCACCTTCAAAATCAGCTTGAATCAGGTCGTCTTTTGAGGTCTAAGATATGCATTATCACATCTTTAGAACAAAATTATTATTTTAAACATGAGAATAAACACATCTGAGGACTTACCCTGAGAAGTGCCAAAGCAACATTGAAGATGACACTGATTCCCTAAAACCAAACAAGCGTTATGTTAAAAAAACACAGATTGTCAGACACGCTGCACATGGATATACTTTTCGGGGAGAAGTATGGTAACTTGAGCACTATCCTCTCCTCTTTCATACTTAACCTGTCAGCATTATGACTTCAGATGTAGTCTGTTGCTATTTACCCGCAAGTCCTCTGCTTTGACCCATCCTTCAATGCCACTAGGACAGTGCTTCTCAATCACCTGTGGGCTGCATCCCCTTCCTGGCTGGGAGCCTCTTTAGTCCTGCACTGTACAGCCTCAGTCCCTGTTCTACAGCATGAGTCCTGGACCAACAGCCTGTCTGTCAATGGGAGATCCCTCTCTCATTGTGCACCTCACCAAACGTTCTCACTTTTCCCTTTGGGTTTTTGAGTAGTTCCTTGACGATGGAGGAGGGTGCAAAGACAGTGATGATCCGGGACATTGAAGGATATTTATAAACATTTATCAACATTCATGGTCATCTGCCCCCTATGGACCAAGGAAGAAGAAAACCCTCTAAACCAGACAGCTCCTATTTAATCCAAGATCCAACTATTGGTTGGTAAGCTGAGAAAAGTAGAAAGGTTTGTTAACGTTTACCTCACTTAACAGTAAGTCGATGATATGGAAGACCATATAGAGCGGGAACTTGGCTGTGAAGAGTGTGAGGAACCACTGGGAGGCGTACATATGCGCCTCCAGACCCACGTTCAGAAAATGTGTGTACAGGTCTGGGATGTACTCCTGCACAGCAAAGACATATTGAATTTAAATGCACAAAGACATAGACACATTCTAGACTGGTGCTTATAGTATAACTGAGAGCTTTTTATATCTACAACAGTATGCAGAACTATTAATAGAAAACTAATTCATGAAAGCAAAACTATACCACTACAATCATACCTGCATTAGCCTTTCAAGTTGGAAGAATTTGCAATGCAGATCTTCAAAATTCTGCTTAAACAGGTCCCTGAGGCCATAGTCAAACATGATCTTGACCAGTACACTGAAGGCCTGCTCTTCTGGCATCTGAAAAAGTGACAATATACTTATATTACCACATACTTCCACGAGATGGTAGTAGTGACTAAAATGACATAGACTTTAACCCCCATCCTTCAAAAATGAAAAGTACCACTTGCTTTTCTTGTTACAAACACTGATTATCAAAATTGTGTTAACTTTCAAACCAAAAAAACCCCAAAACAAAACTATGTATTAAAATCCAACAAACTGTTTTTTGGATTTCAATAGAGTTTGGTTCACTAGTATGTGTCTGATTTGTTGCCAACATTTTACTTTTACCACATGTATTATTTATGAAAAAGAGTTTTAAAAATCCCACAGAATATCAGAAAGCTAAAGATGTCAAACAAAAACATAACTTTTCCTCTATACTGGGAAAATGCATCCTGTGAACTCACATGCAGAAGCAGCACAGCCGCCAAGAAGGATTGTCCCTGGCAGTATCCAATCTCCTCATCATACACGGAGTACGCCTGGAGAACACAAGTGGCACAGATCGTTAGTGGCTGGCAACTGAGCGATTACCCCAATTAATGCTTTTGTATGGGGTGTAATGTGGATCCATTTGATTTAGAGAACAAAAAAAGGCCACTGAATAATTCAAACGCACCTGAGGAGTTGCCTGCTCAAGCACAGATGAACAGTATCACCCGAGTTGTGCATAATGTCGGGTGTTGGAACGGCAATTGTGCATCATAACAGGTGGGACTAATTGAACTGACATATGGGCAACCTCCTCTCTAAGTTTGATCACAGTAAGCATGCATGTGCTTCAGTGAGAAAGGAAGGCTAGCCAGCAGCAAGAAGTTTCATAACACACTTGATTTTAACTTTCTGACAGGCACATTCCTATGCACCCTGTGAACCTTTAGCCATTGCAGGTTTTTCTGTGTGTACCAGCTATTCATCAGATTGACAAAATAATGTGAATGCAAAAACAAGTGTTCATGCCACCTGTGTTACATTTGTGTGTCCCAAAGTTTTTAGCCCGCGACCCCCATGATAAATGCGCTACTGCCCCGCGATCCACCACATGCTGATGAGGTAGGACAGTTAGCCCTAGCAGTATTGTTAGAGATCCTTTATTCGTCCCACAGTGAGTAGATTTCAAGTTGGCCTCAGGATTAGGGATAGGAAAATTCACCAATTCGTCCAGGTGGTTTGAGTCAAGTACTTGCAATGTGACTGCACCAGCACGGTACAGCATGCATCGGGCAGATTCAGGATTCATGTTGTCTGGGGCTTCATGTCCCTGGTAGGGTCTCCCATGGCAAACAAGTCTTCGGACTGCGCTTTAGACGAAACATTATGGGGAATGACATAGGCAGGAGAAATGCCCAAAAAAAAAACAAAGAAAACTACAAAAAAAAACGCTGCACCATGGATCTATAGATTATGGGGAATGACATAGGCAGGAGAAATGCCCAAAAAATCCCCAAAGAAAACTAAAAAAAAAAACGCCGCACCTTGGATCGTGACCTATAGATTGCGTGTCAATGGTTATGCACGTTCGTGCAAGGAATAGCATGTGTGGCGCGGGAGAGGCAGTGGGTACAGAGACTCGATACATTCAGTAAAAGCAGCTTTTTCCTGCATGTCACAGAGACACAAGTCTAAAAAAGATTAAACCAGGATAAAACCAGGACTGACAATGCGGGACACTGTGCTTGTGAAAATATGCCTTCAGCGTGAGTTCTCATTCCCTCGTGACTGTAAACAAGGGCTGCTAATGTGTTAGCCAACATGACAAATGTATTTATTTAGGTTAAAAAAACGTCCTGGTCGCAGTCCACGGTAATGTGGCAGTCCACCTTACTGTGGTGGGGGAGTTAGAGTACTCGGATGATCCTGGGAGCTATGTTGTCTGGAGCTTCATGCCCCTGGTAGGGTCTCCCATGGCAGACAGGTCTCGGGTGCAAGTCAGACGAAGCGCAGTCCAAAACCCGCCATGGATAGCACGAGAACAGTGACGTTGTCCGGCATGGCGATGCAGCTGTCCAGTACCGGCAGGCCAAGCATGCCGCGGCCCGGGCTGTTGCAGAGGCAAAAACTCGGGACTGGGAGGAGTTCGGAGAGTCCATGGAGCATGACTATCGGTCGGCCTCAAAGAGATTCTGGCAAACAGTCCGGCGCCTCAGGAGGGGGAAGCAGTTCTTTGCCAACACCATGTACGGTGCGGGTGGAGAGCTGCTGGCCTAGACTGATGACATTGTTGGGCGGAATACTTCGAGGTTCTCCTCAATCCCCCTGTCACGTCCTCCGTTCCGGAGGCAGAGGCTGAGGATAATGGGGTGGATACTTCCATCTCCCTGGTTGAGGTCACCAAGGTGGTTGGCAGCCTCCATGGTGGCAAGGCTCCGGGTGTGGATGAGATCCGTCCTGACTATCTAAAGTCTCTGAATGTTGTAGGACTGTCTTGGCTGACACGTCTCTGCAACATCGCGTGGCGATCAGGGGCAGTACCATTGGAGTGGCAGACCGGGGTGGTGGTCCCTCTCTACAAATAGGAGGTCCGGAGGGTGTGTTCTAATTATCATGGGATCACACTCCTCAGCCTCCCCGGTAAGGTCTACTCCAAGGTACTGGAGAGGAGGCTACGGCCGATGATTGAATCTCTGATTCAGGAGGAGCAGTGTGGTTTTCGTCCCGGCCGTGGAACACTGGCACATTGATGACGTAAACTCAACTGTCCCAATTCCCAAGATTCCCAAGTGCACATACACTTTATGAGCACTTTCAAAAAGTGCACACTTCTCAAAGTGCGTACTGCACAAGTGCGCAATTTGGGACGAGGCCTTAAAGGTACATAGGTGGATTTTCTACTTCCGGGCAGATCATCAAGACTATTGGTCCTCCCACTCTGCAATCATTTTGGTGACACATGCTCGTCAAATAAGACCAGAGAGTTTTGTTCAAAAAAGTGGAGAGGGCGGTCCTTTCCTAACATTTGTATACTTTTAACACGGGCCGAGGTAGTCGCTAAAGTTAGTATTAGCGCCACCAGCCGGACCAAGCGTTGTAATACACCTGCATTTGTGCTGGCCGTCTTCACACTCCTGTGGCGACGATCCGGGCCACTTGGCCTAGTTTGTTTGTGAAAACCGTATGCACGTGACTGTTTCCAAATGCTTTCACATTTCAAGCAGGAAGGCTTTGTCACAGACTGCGTTATTACAGAAACGGCGTTCATGTGTGCTACTCGGATGCTACTGCTAATCCTTTACTGCACTTTTACAAAAGGAAAATAAGTGTTATTCGCGTTTGAACATAATTGTACACCCATGTTTATTGGGGGGGTTTGCTTTAATGCATGAAGGACACACAATATTAATGACATTGTACAAAATAAAAGTGTCAATCAAACCTTGCAAATCTTGTAGAGTGAATCTTGTCCATCTCCCCCAGTGTCCTTGAAGTAGTCATGCGCTGGAAACGTCCTGTTGATGTCTCTGGTGATAGCACTGTCTTGAGGAGATTCCTGTGAACACAATTAAAGATTATAGATTAATTAAGACCACAAAAAGGTCAATTAATTTTATCTACAAGAGCAAGTTCCAGGGCGACAGTAGCTCAGTTGGTAGAGCATAGGCCTTTGAGCCAGAAGGTCGTGGGTTCGAGCCCACCACAAGACTTTCTTTACCGACTCCCACTGATGTCTGCTGTTGTTATGTCCTTGGTAAGACACTTAACCTCTGGGAACACCTGATGCCACAGTGGGGCAGCTGCAAAGGTCCAAACTGCTGTTGTGTCCTTAGGCAAGACACTTCATCCCCATTGCCTAGAATGAGTCAGGTGTGTGTGTGAATGGTTGGTGGTGGTCAGAGGGGCCGTTGCCCCAGGGCAGCTGTGGCTACATTAGTAGTTTATCACCACCGTGTATGGAGTGAATGCATAATAACATGTAAAGCGTCTTTGAGTGTCCAAAAAAGCGCTGTATAAAACCGATGCATTGTTATTATTATTCCATAAAAGAATTCAGCACTAGAACAGTTTGTTCTTTTGCCGAACACTTCTAGAGGGGTAATGGGCGTTTGAAATTCACCATCGTCTCCAACACTGTTTTTTAACCTCCGCAAACAAACAATTATATTTTTATTTTATTTATTTATTTTAATTTCACAATCACACTTAAATCAATAATATTCTGTGAGATGATAGCTCTGTGACCGTGGTTATATATTGGCCAAACTAAAGTTGTTGTGTCTTTAGGCGATACACGTCATTCGCCAATTACTTGTATAAAAGACAAATACTGTGTGTAGTACCTAGAGAAGTATAGGTTTTCAGGCTGATACCGGTGATTATTAGTCAAGAGGGCAAAAAACCTGATATTTTCAGACACTATTAATTTGCAGTAAAAGTGAACTGGTGTCAACCTTCTGAATATTACAAACTCTGAACTTTGTTTATTTATCACAGAATAGATTCTGACAAATGGCAGCCTTGGAAGTAGGCCTGTGCGATATTCAAATCAAAACAATGAGTAAGATGGGTAGAGCTACTGGTGTGGTGAGGTGTTCTTATTCTGTAAGTACAACAATTTTGAAGCAGTTTGTCCAATCTCTCGTTTTATCTCGTTGGTTCACAATAAGTTACAGTATAACCTTTTAATATTTCTGAAAAAGGTAATATTGATGAGTATTTTCGTTCTGCTCGCTCAGACCACTAATGTCCCCATGACCACTTTGCGGCTCTCTGATTGGTCGCTGCACAGTCCGTGCGTCGCAACAGCAGTCCCACGCTCGAATGCGCGTCACCATTGACTTTGCATTGAAAGTCGACACAACGCATGATCCGGTCTGAATGTGCCTTTAGTTTGATAAAATTGCTCCTCTGAGCATGAGGTCATGGGATGCCCATTAGTGTCTGTCTGCTGTGTCTTATTTAGACCTGAAAATGCAGTATGCAAAACCTAAACACATAATCACAGTAAGAAGCTCAAGAGGAGCTGTTCAGCCTCAGTTTAACCCAAAAGGGTTTACTGTGTTAAATGCTGCTTTACTCATAAAGCATGTATCTTTAAATTTACATTTTGTTATTGGGTGGTTTTAATGGGGCAATTAAATTGGTCATAAGTATTATTACATTTTGTTAAAATGTATGTGATGCATGTATACTTGCTTTATTAACTTAACTGTGTGTGATTGTGCGTTTGTGCGTCTGCTCTGTGTGTATCTGCTGACTGTATACAAATGTGCATTTTATGGTATGTGCTTGTGTTATTTTATACCCACCTTTACGTTGTGTGTTCGTCCCTGCCGGGGGACTACGGATGCAAATTAGCCTAAGGCTAACTCCGGTACAATGCATCATATGGAAACATGTATGTTCTAATTGTACACTGTCCCTTTATAAATGAATAAATAAATAAATAAATTGATGAGTAACAACTTATATTTTGTCAGCAGTACTTACATTTGGCATTCTAGAAAGAGCCCTGAATATTACACTTCAAAAGCTGTACAAAGCCTGAATCCTGTCATCTCATGTTCTTTTTGACATGCCATTCTCAGTGCTATTTGTACTGTATGCTTTGTGGCCTTCTCTATGTGGTGATTGGGTTGTATGTAGGGCTGCAACAACGAATCGATAATATAGATAAAAATCGATTATTAAAAGCGTTGGCAACGAATTTGGTTATCGATTCGTTGTGTCACGTGATTAATACGTCACAGAGCGCGCGAGTTGGGCGCATTCTTGTAGTTCTGCGAGTGTTGTACCGCACTAACTTTAGACAGTCAGAGTCAGTGGGAACAGTGTTTCTCAAGGTTTCTGAGGGTTTCTCATTGGGAGGTTCGGAGACAGGTTAGATTTGCGGAGAACAAGCCTGGAAGTCACGTCGGGCGCTAATTTTCCGGTAAAATCTCTGCAAATAGTGCCTCCCACAGATGTATTATCGTGCCTCCCGCCATCACCGGGACAGTAACGTGTTGGAGAAGCCTTTGTCTGGTGTTAGACGAGAGAGAGCGGGGGAGACGAGAGAGAGCGGGGGAGAAAAGAGAGAGAGCGGGGGAGACGAGAGAGAGAGCGGGGGAGACTAGAGAGAGAGCGGGGGAGACGAGAGAGAGAGCGGGGGAGACGAGAGAGAGAGCGGGGGAGAGAGAGCGGGGGAGACGAGAGAGAGAGCGGGGGAGACGAGAGAGAGAGCGGGGGAGACGAGAGAGAGAGCGGGGGAGACGAGAGAGAGAGCGGGGGAGAGAGAGCGGGGGAGACGAGAGAGAGAGAGCGGGGGAGACGAGAGAGAGCGGGGGAGACGAGAGAGAGAGCAGGGGAGACGAGAGAGAGAGAGCAGGGGAGACGAGAGAGAGCGGGGGAGACTAGAGAGAGCGGGGGAGACGAGAGAGAGCGGGGGAGACGAGAGAGAGAGCAGGGGAGACGAGAGAGAGAGCAGGGGAGACGAGAGAGAGAGCGGGGGAGAAAAGAGAGAGCGGGGGAGAAAAGAGAGAGAGCGGGGGAGAAAAGAGAGAGAGAGCGGGGGAGAAAAGAGAGAGAGAGCAGGGGAGACGAGAGAGAGAGCAGGGGAGAGAGAGCGGGGGAGACGAGAGAGAGAGCAGGGGAGAGAGAGCGGGGGAGACGAGAGAGAGAGCCAGGGAGAGAGAGCGGGGGGAGACGAGAGAGAGAGCAGGGGAGAGAGAGCGGGGGAGACGAGAGAGAGAGCAGGGGAGACGAGAGAGAGAGCAGGGGAGACGAGAGAGAGAGCAGGGGAGACGAGAGAGAGCAGGGGAGACGAGAGAGAGAGCAGGGGAGACGAGAGAGAGCGGGGGAGACGAGAGAGAGCAGGGGAGACGAGAGAGAGCGGGGGAGACGAGAGAGAGCGGGGGAGACGAGAGAGAGCCGAGGAGACGAGAGAGAGAGCGGGGGAGACGAGAGAGAGCGGGGGAGACGAGAGAGAGAGCGGAGGAAACGAGAGAGAGAGCAGGGGAGACGAGAGAGAGAGCGGGGGAGACGAGAGAGAGAGCGGGGGAGACGAGAGAGAGAGCAGGGGAGAGAGAGCGGGGGAGACGAGAGAGAGAGCGGGGGAGACGAGAGAGAGAGCAGGGGAGAGAGAGCGGGGGAGACGAGAGAGAGAGCGGGGGAGACGAGAGAGAGAGCAGGGGAGAGAGAGCGGGGGAGACGAGAGAGACGAGAGAGAGAGCAGGGGAGACGAGAGAGAGAGCGGGGGAGACGAGAGAGAGCGGGGGAGACGAGAGAGAGAGCGGAGGAGACGAGAGAGAGCAGGGGAGACGAGAGAGAGAGCGGGGGAGACGAGAGAGAGCAGGGGAGACGAGAGAGAGAGCGGGGGAGACGAGAGAGAGCGGAGGAGACGAGAGAGAGAGCGGGGGAGACGAGAGAGAGCGGGGGAGACGAGAGAGAGCGGAGGAGACGAGAGAGAGAGCGGGGGAGACGAGAGAGAGAGCAGGGGAGACGAGAGAGAGAGCGGGGGAGACGAGAGAGAGAGCGGGGGAGACGAGAGAGAGAGCAGGGGAGACGAGAGAGAGAGCAGGGGAGAGAGAGCGGGGGAGACGAGAGAGAGAGCGGGGGAGACGAGAGAGAGAGCAGGGGAGAGAGAGCGGGGGAGACGAGAAAGAGAGCGGGGGAGACGAGAGAGAGAGCAGGGGAGAGAGAGCGGGGGAGACGAGAGAGAGAGCGGGGGAGACGAGAGAGAGAGCAGGGGAGAGAGAGCGGGGGAGACGAGAGAGAGAGCGGGGGAGACGAGAGAGAGAGCAGGGGAGAGAGAGCGGGGGAGACGAGAGAGAGAGCGGGGGAGACGAGAGAGAGAGCGGAGGAGACGAGAGAGAGAGCAGGGGAGAGAGAGCGGGGGAGACGAGAGAGAGAGCGGGGAGAGAGAGCGGGGGAGACGAGAGAGAGAGCGGGGGAGACGAGAGAGAGAGCGGGGGAGACGAGAGAGAGAGCGGGGGAGAGAGAGCGGGGGAGACGAGAGAGAGAGAGCGGGGGAGACGAGAGAGAGCGGGGGAGACGAGAGAGAGAGCAGGGGAGACGAGAGAGAGAGCAGGGGAGACGAGAGAGAGCGGGGGAGACTAGAGAGAGCGGGGGAGACGAGAGAGAGCGGGGGAGACGAGAGAGAGAGCAGGGGAGACGAGAGAGAGAGCAGGGGAGACGAGAGAGAGAGCAGGGGAGACGAGAGAGAGAGCAGGGGAGAAAAGAGAGAGCGGGGGAGAAAAGAGAGAGAGCGGGGGAGAAAAGAGAGAGAGAGCGGGGGAGAAAAGAGAGAGAGAGCAGGGGAGACGAGAGAGAGAGCAGGGGAGAGAGAGCGGGGGAGACGAGAGAGAGAGCAGGGGAGAGAGAGCGGGGGAGACGAGAGAGAGAGCCAGGGAGAGAGAGCGGGGGAGACGAGAGAGAGAGCAGGGGAGAGAGAGCGGGGGAGACGAGAGAGAGAGCGGGGGAGACGAGAGAGAGAGCAGGGGAGACGAGAGAGAGAGCAGGGGAGACGAGAGAGAGCAGGGGAGACGAGAGAGAGAGCAGGGGAGACGAGAGAGAGCGGGGGAGACGAGAGAGAGCAGGGGAGACGAGAGAGAGCGGGGGAGACGAGAGAGAGCGGGGGAGACGAGAGAGAGCGGAGGAGACGAGAGAGAGAGCGGGGGAGACGAGAGAGAGCGGGGGAGACGAGAGAGAGAGCGGAGGAGACGAGAGAGAGAGCAGGGGAGACGAGAGAGAGAGCGGGGGAGACGAGAGAGAGAGCGGGGGAGACGAGAGAGAGAGCAGGGGAGAGAGAGCGGGGGAGACGAGAGAGAGAGCGGGGGAGACGAGAGAGAGAGCAGGGGAGAGAGAGCGGGGGAGACGAGAGAGAGAGCGGGGGGAGACGAGAGAGAGAGCAGGGGAGAGAGAGCGGGGGAGACGAGAGAGAGAGCGGGGGAGACGAGAGAGAGAGCGGAGGAGACGAGAGAGCAGGGGAGACGAGAGAGAGAGCGGGGGAGACGAGAGAGAGCAGGGGAGACGAGAGAGAGAGCGGGGGAGACGAGAGAGAGCGGGGGAGACGAGAGAGAGAGCGGGGGAGACAAGAGAGAGCGGGGGAGACGAGAGAGAGAGCAGAGGAGACGAGAGAGAGAGCGGGGGAGACGAGAGAGAGCGGGGGAGACGAGAGAGAGAGCGGAGGAGACAAGAGAGAGAGCGGGGGAGACGAGAGAGAGAGCGGGGGAGAGGAGAGAGAGAGCGGGGGAGACACATTTTATGAAATTTCTAAAATCCACAATTTCCAACGCCATATGACGTCATATAATGCTAATTAGATGGTACACTTATTCCCTACATAACACTTTTGGCCATCCTTAATAATTGTGTAATTTACAGAAAGTCTTTATCTCCTATCACTTTTAAGTTACAGCCTTTTGAAATAAAAAAATCAAAAGTTTTTGAGTATATGCACTCAACAATGTACAATTACCCTAAAAATGACTTAATTACACAAACGCGTCTTGTCTGTAATTGTTCTTTGGGTTAAACCACAAAATCTGTTTTTGTGCACTTTACTTTATACTGCAGAGCACACATTTGTATGTTTCTTTGTGTTGATCCAAGGCCACGTTTTTTAATAACGGGACTAAAAATGCTTTTTTTATCCGATTAATCGAAAAAATAAATCGACAGATTAATCGATTATTAAAATAATCGCTAGTTGCAGCTCTAGTTGTATGTGCAGTGCACATCATGTCCCAGTGAGGACCCTCTTTTGTGCCATTCATTTGTTAGGAAAGGCTTTGATGGATGCTCTTGTGTAGCACGCATAATGCTCTGTTATGAAGCATCACTTGTCTGTTGCCAAGTACTGACATGAGCGTAAAAACATGACTAATTAACATCCTGACATTTCTTAGAAAAAACTCATTAGTTAGTTTAACTCCTGACCCACATATGGAAACAGAAATTCTTTGGCCGTAATAAATGCTTAGATTTCACAAGCATGTCACTTCTTTTTCAAGAAAGTAGAGTAAAAAAAAAACCTCATGATTAGGTTTATTGTCTTGAATTGTTGTTTAAGCTATTAAGCTGTTTAAGAGTTCCACAGTTTCGGACAGAGACGAAGCAGGATAAATAGCTGAGTACCTTTGGAGTTAATGAGAGAAAGCGTGAAAAATGGCTGGAGAGATGGAGGACGACGATGCTACAGAAGCTGACAGTGAGAGGCCAGTCATGGAAATAAGTTAAAGAAATTCATTGAAGAGCAGCAAGGACAACAGCAGCAAAGAAAAACACTGAATACGTATACATTGAAGAGTACTAGGTAAGATCAGGGCTATTAAGCACTGTCTTGATGAACTAAATTAAATCCAAATCAAGCTTAACCCTTTGAGGCCGGGAAAGCGGACATGTCTTTTTTTTTAACCTATTCTCTTCATAGATCAATTCTCTTGAACAATGAAATGCATCAAGATATACCAGGGATGAGAATTTTCTGCCACAAATTCACTTTTTCTCTAACCCTAACCCGCTTTTAATGTGCGGACCACTATACCACTTTACCCTTCTAGCGTGAAGGGTTCTGGGTTTTCTATAAAGTAAGAATAAAGGTCTCCCAGCAGATCGGTGCCAAGCATGGATCTATAATAATTCTAATAGGGTATTACAAGCTTATAGCTGTCCCACCCTAGGGCACAGGGGGCGCCCGTGGTACTGCAGACTAAATTCACGTGGGCTACCCATGTGAAACAAGTGTCCCTTGTCATCCTGAACTTTTTTTCTTCTTAAATCCTTCAAGTTTTCTTTAAATCCACACTTTACTTCCACAAACTGCTCATTTCCGTAGCGCACTGGCTCCACTCTAACTCTGCTCTGATCAGCAGCGCTGATTGGTCAAAGCGCGGCCGAGCCACACGCGTATTTGGCACAACGCATCATGGGAGCTCTTCCACTGCGCAGAACTGGGAGGACCAGACGATGCCCAAATATGGACGAGATTAAGTCGCTATTTTTAGAGACTTGCGACATGACTCTGACTCGTCCCCTAAAGACTCGGGACTTGACTCGGACTCGTCCCCTAAAGACTCAGACTTGACCTCGACTCGGAGTCGTTGTTTTTGGACATTGCGAGTCCTGACGCTCCAGATCCGTCTTTTTCACCGGCTGGTAAGGGTGCGCGCTCTATGGCTGTGCGCGCTCTTTGGCTGCGATCACGAGCCTTGACTGAGCGGGAATGCACACGTTCGCTCATCACTTTGTGCATCAGTTGTGTCTGAGCTGTGAGCCGCTCTGTCAACGCGGCAGCGCGCAGCCTTAATGTGGTCATGTTCCCAGGACCATACACGCGCACAGGACCATTCTCTGCTTGTTGTGTGCGTGTCTTTATACACCTCTGCAATTAACAAAGCTGGATGATAGAGCCTCCTGAAGTTCCCATGTCTCCCCGTGTCTCCTCCTAAACTCGCAAAATTAAAGCTGGTGACAGATTTAATGACAGCCATTTGTTGACATTATGTATTTCGGACTTTTTTGAAATGTCCCATTCTCATCCCTGTAACAAACACTAGTTTTGGTCTGTGCCCTCACTGTAGTTTGTTATTCTCTTGTAACGTAGACTATTGCACGCTATTATTGCACTTACATCCTCTACAGTATGTGCTTCTTGACAACAAGGGACTGCATAACGTATACATAAACGTGACTTGGACTTGACTTGGATTCCAGGCCATGGACTTGACTTGGACTTGCGGGTCCAGAGACTTGGACTTGGACTTGAGTTGGACTTGCCGGTCAGAGACTTGTGTGCATCTCTGCCGTGAAGTCCCATGCGCTACTAAGCACAAGCCATTCATTTGAATCACCGGGGCTTGGTGCCAAGACCAACCTGACCAATGTTTTTTCTCGTCATCTCAGGTCTCATGTGGGCTTTGGATTTGTTAAGTTTGGTCTCATATACTTATTTTTAGCCTGTCTTTAAATCTCCTCTGATCTTCTTGCGTTAGAGTGCTTTCAGTACAGACCAAAAGTTTGGACACTACCTTCTCATTTGAAGGCATCAAAACTATGAATTCACTCATGTGGAATTAAATACAAAAAAAAAGTATGAAACAACTGAAAATTTGTCTTATATTCTAGGTTCTTCAAAGTAGGACCTTTTGCTCTGATTATTGCTTCGCACACTCTTGGCATTCTCTTGATGAGCTTCAAGAGGACCTGAAATAGTCTGAGTTCCCACAGATGCTTAGCACTTATTGGCCCTTTCACCTTCACTCTGTGGTCCAGCCCCAAAACCATCTGGATTGGGTTCAGGTCCAAAACCATCTGGATTGGGTTCAGGTCTGGTGACTGGAGGCCGGGTCATCTGGCCCAAAACCCCATCACAGTCCTTGTTGGTCAAATAGCCCTTACACAGCCTGGGTGTGAATCTACAGTCAATAGTCTTGACTGTAGTCAACTTTTGGTCTGTACTGTATATACAGTGCATTTCTCTAACTAAGTCTTTTAAAAGTACTCGTTGTATCCATGCTTCAGTATGTGCCACTCTGTCTTCTTGCCACTCTTCTTGCCGCTTTGTCTTCTTGCCAGGTGTTAGTGTTTGTATGTTGTTTACACATTAGTTAATTATTAAAAAGAGTTGCAGTGTTATGATACTCCTGTGTAACTAAAGTCACATGGTTGAAGCACATGAGAGAAACAGGTCACTTAAAAAAGGTAGGCCTAAGGGTGCATCAGACCTCATTTTAAAAATGCACCGCAGATTTTTGGATATCTCACAAGAGCTGCCTTCTGAACTTGAGACTATGTAAACAGAGTGAGTCTTACCTTTGTTATTAGAGTACGATATTCTTCAACTAAGTGATCATTGTTATGGCAGCCTGCAAGGAGCTGCCAAACTTCCCCTCGCAGAGCTTCGGGGACGCCGTTACGCACCAAGGCAGGCAGTGGTCTGGGCCGCACAGACAGATTGAGGTGCCTTAAAGTAAGCAGAGTTGGCAAATAAGATAATAACACACTGGATCTACAAACAGCTTAAGTCTAAACCCTTTAGGTGCCAGAATGTTTTAGACATTGAATGTAAAGCAGACATAGAGCCTTGACACTTTATAAAGAGATAGAAGACCACTAAAATCAACAACAGAAAAAAAGGAAAAGAAATCAGTAAAATGAAACGTATGTGGGAAGCCAAGTTGCTGTATAGCCTTGGCTTTCATAGGAGCTCATGCAGCTACTTTGGGGCATAAAGGGTTAATAAACAAATGAACGCATTCCAGATATGATGAAAAGGAAACCACAGAAAAACCCCAGACTTGAATTGTTGACCATTCTTCCCAAGACAATGATAGTATGGACGAAAAGTTATGTGACTAATTTAAACTGATTACATTATTTTCTCCAAGTGGAATATATTCTAATTATGTTAAATCTATTAAGTTGACAAAATAATTGCAGTTTTGTGAACACAACATGTTTTGTAAAGGCACACTCTCAGATGTTTCATGAAAACCAAAATGAGCACAAACATTTGCATAGCGGTTTATTAAATATTTTAAAAAATCTCAAACACCAAACTTTTGTAAAAATCTTACCACTTAGATAGCAAGTCTCCCCAAGTTTCAAGGATCTTCTCTGCACACTCCTTTGAAACATCGCCAGAGCCACTAAGTAAGGGTTCATCATTATCTGACAGAGAAATTCACAACAAAATAAAACATTTTTAAAATGTATTCAGAAATATAGATATTGACAAAATGTTTTGGTATGACACAGCTGAACAAAAACTCAGTTTAACCGGGTGATAAAATTCTTACCTTCCTCCTCATCATCCTCAGGAGGTGAGGCTGCCATGTTTCCAGGTCCACTTAGATAAATGCCAGGACTTGTTGTCGTCTTCCGCCTCTCCCTCTCAGTTTCACTTACCAAACTAACCACCTCGTATAATGTGTCAGCTAAGGGACTCTTTCGTTCCTTCCGTTCCATCTAATAAGATAGAAAATGTATTACATTCCCAGCTAAGATCAACAGTAAGACTAGGCTTCTCATACCTGCCGTAGTTTAAGGTAGAATGTCTCAGTGTAACTTCGCTTGCTAAACGGCCAAAAGAGCCGGTCGTTCGGGGAGCACACCCGGACACGTGTCTCAAGCAGAAATCTGACCGGTTCTTCTACCTCCGTTATTACCAGATCCACTGCAGTTGTCATGTACATGAATTTATCTGTTAAAGAAGTCGGAGTTGAAATACAGGGTAAGATTTTTCAGGAACCACGAAATTGGGATATAGTCCATAGTCCTATTGAGTCTAGCAGTTTCTTGTCTGGTCCCCTCAGAACAGGTGACCTCAGTTCAGTCTTGTTCTGTGCCAGCAGACGTGTGTCCGAGTATATTCTCTCTGTCAACTGTAAAACTAAGCCCTACCTGTTTGTAGCGGTTACCTTTTGGAGTTTCCTCATTCACAGGTTGAAATTGTGGTGTGTTGGGGTTCCAACTTCCTGTTATGATGTAAGACTTCCCATCAGAGCTTTTACCCATTGATTCCTAAAGAAAAAAGTAACAGTTGAATAATATGAAAGTTGTCAAAAATAAAACACTGGAACACCCACCAAGTCAAGCAGGTGCATATCACTATTTTTCACATTTTTTCCTGGGCTCAACAGAAGACCGAAACACCTGAAAATAAACACTTAAGAATAACAAACCTGGAAATAGAAATTATATTGGTTGAGAAGGGCAAAAAAAACAAACCTTTCAATGGCCAATTCCTTATTGGATGTCTGTTGTATATAAATAACAATTTTCTTAACCATTCCTGCACGAAGTTTGAAACTTTGCTTATCTTTGTCTTTTGCAACCGCACTGAAAAAGAGAAAAGAAAATACACACCTGAGACAATTTTAGACATTTAACAAAAATACATTTATAGCATACAGTATCCTCATACAGCACTTAAATATAGTTTCTCAATAAATACCCAGACCTGGAATTTCACACATTTCTGCATAAAATCACATTTGATCTGATCTTTTTTTTTAAACAAAAACTTTTTTCTGATTTTAAAACTAAAACAACAAAAACATTTATAAGCTGTCATATTTTTAATGAAGATAACATGCAAACAATAAAAGAAGGGGGAGGAATAAGTGACTGAACCTTCTCTCTAAGGAGACTTTTAGAGCAACTCATGGCATTTTTTGTCCAATCACTGAAGAGTGGCTTGAAACTGCAATCAAGAAGTGTTGACTGTATAAAGCTATGTTCGCAAAAAGGCACTTTGAATGATCATGAAACCAAAGTTTAGTTTTTGGGAGGAACACACAACATCATGTATGGGGGAAAAATGCTCATCAAAACCTCATCCCCAACGTGAACCGTGGTCAGAGCAGCTTCATAGAACATTGGCGAGTCTCTAGCACCATCTTGTGGTCACATTAAACTGGCCCTGTATTGCTACCTCAGGGCCTGGTCAACTCGCAATCATCAATGGAAACATTGAATTAAAGATTTATCAGAATGTCGTGCAGGAAAACCTGAGACAGTTGAAGCTGAAAAGAGGATAGATGCTGTAACACGACAATGATACAACAGACACAAGTAAATCAACTTCAGAATTGTTTCAGAAGAACAAAATATACATTCTGATGTGACCAAGTCAAAGTCCTGACTTGAGCCCCAGATCCTGTGGCATGACCCAAAGACAGCAATGTATAGATTGGTAGATACTGAAATTCAGGTGTCTAGCAGCAGAAACACATTCATCCATACAAATATATTAGGGCTGTCAAACGATTAACATTTTTTAGTTGATTAATCGCACAGAAATGGTTATTAATCGATTAATCGCATTTTTAAAATTCTATTTCAAATCCACTCCAATTGAAGTTAAATGAGATTATCAAATATAATGACACATTGTCATTTATACCAAATGTACTTAAATCTGTTTGATTTGCTCAGAACCTCTTGCATTTGGGCACGACCAAAATGAGCTGTTAATGAAAGGGGGAAATTTACGTACCCCAGCTTTAATTCAGCGTTTCAGTTTAGTTTAGTTTCAGGAGGAGACAGGGACACGGTGTATTTGCGTGCACAGGTTACGCACAGGTTACAAAGACACGAACACAGCATGCAGACAATAGTTTTGTCGCGTGTATGGTCTTATATGACCACGTTACCATTCACTCACAGCCGTGTTGTTGTTAGCGGCTCACAACCAGAGCGGCCGCGGAGGAGGCGGACTTCAGTTCACAGCAAACAACAGCCCAGCAGTGACGCGCATATTCTTTTAAAACATGAATTTCCAGAGGGCCTACCTGCTCTGATGCATCTCACACGCTGCGTTCTGAGTGATAATGGATAAATGGGCGGGTCATTCGGACATGCGTTAATTTTTTTTTAACGCGTTAATGAAAAATGTAATTAACATGAGTTAACGCGATAATTTTGACAGCCCTAAAATATATACATAATTACAAACAATAGTAATGAAGTGCAACACTTTGATCTCATATGACAGCAGTAGAGGTGGAATAGCCGCTGGGTAGAGCAGGACAGGTCACCACAGTCTGATGATATCCGACTGAACTACAGCAGTTTTGTAAAAACGAATGGTCAAAAATGTATCCTGATCGAAGAGCCAGACTGCAACTCCAGAAAGCGTCTGGTTGAAGTTATTGCAGCCAATTTTGCAATCAGTCATTATATGCAATGGTTCATTTACTTCTTCCTCCCCTTTCTGTTCGTTAAAATGTCTGAGTGTTTTAAGTTTAAACAGACAATGTTTTTTTTCTGATTTTATGCAAATAAAATTGAAATTTTCATGAACACTTCACAGACTTCAGCCACTGAAGCATGAACCTGTGCAATGTAATGAGTGAGTAATGCAGGATAATGCCTCCGATGCACTGCATACATAGCGAGTGACGCGAGCCTCCCCTGATAGAGGAGAGGCTCGCGTCACACCAGCCGTGCGCGCAGGGTAGGGCTGGGCGATAAAACGATAACAATATATATTGCGATAGACACGGGGGACGTAGGAAAGGGCTTCTCGACCTATCACGGCCGAGCATGAACCGCAAAACATCCTGGAAAATGCAACCAAAAACCAACCGCAACAGTATGACCGCACCATGTGTAGCGTCCATGGAGCTATAGATCGTGTTTCAATGCCGTGTCAATAGTTATGCACGCCCATGTGAGGAATAGCATGTGCGGTGCGGTGCGGGAGAGGCAGTGGGTACAGCGACCCGATGCATGCGGCAAAAGCAAGAGATTAACTTTTTCCTCGGGAATCCGTGTGCGGAAAGCTGCACGGAGACGTCAGGGGAACACAAGACAATCGAGAACAGCCAAAACAGAAGCTAAACCAGGAATAACCGGGATTAAACCAGGACTAACAATGACGCTTGTGAACATACGCCTCCAGCCTGAGTTCTCATTCCCGTGACTGTAAACAAGAGCTGCTAACGTGTTAGCAGACACAACCGATATGTCGGGTAACATGATATGACCGATATGAATCACTTATATTGTGATATAGTTTTCATCCAAATAGCCCAACCCTAGTGCACGGTCGCAGCTTCTGATGCTGCCCCTATGTAGTCTATGGAGAAGTGTAGAGGACAGTATGCAACAAAACTCACATGTATATGTTTGTCCTCGTGGTCTTTGCGGGCTGCTATGGTCGGACACAAGACTATTCGTGTAAAAATACACAAGGCTCTTATTTTGGGCTGACAAGTGCGGCTTGGTACCTGGCGCTATGCGCCACTACGCTCGGCTCCTCATGCGGTGTGTACGGTTCTCGCTGATAACGTGGGCGTGTATTTTAAATTAGAACGACGTGCTGCTTCGCGTCCCTATGCGCCTGCGGTGTGTACAAGGTGTAAAGGATATCCATCTAAATAATAAAACTCAAACAATTGTCTTACCTGAAGGCCCCTTTTCCGTCATCCTCTTTGATTTCAAGGCTGACCGTGAAAGTAAATAGATCACTGTCAGGGGTTAGGGGGGGAGCCTGTTGCGACATCAAAGCCCTTTTTGCTGACCGCCGAAAAGCGGTGGCAAAGCTGTACAGTATACGACTCACCTGAGAAATGTGCAAGGAGGAAAACATTACTCAAAGTTTGGTGCTCTGTAACCAACTATTTTGATATTTGTGAATATTAACCTTTTGTCCTACAGAAACAAACATGAAAGTCTCTGTATGATTTGTGTTTTCTGATGAATTATATCTTGAACATAATTTTACTGCTGATATATTATTTAAAAAATGCAAATGATTCTCTCACCGCCTCTTGGATTTGGCAACGGAATACGTGAATCCTGAAGATTTCAGCATTGTAATGGCTCTCCGTAAAAGCAAAACAGTCACTCTCTGGTGTACCATCGTGGCCTCGCACACAAAAAAGAATTTTGTAGATGGGGTAATTGGCAATTTCAGTGCTGCTTTGAGGGTCTATTAACCTGTGCAGAAGAATGCAATTAAACTCAAAATCACATTCCATGAATAACTTGCGTTGTTACCTGACAGTGCCCTCAGAGACTCCTGGCACAGACAGTGTGACGTCCAAGGGAAGTTGGCATTGCCCTCGGAGGATGCTCATCATGCGGAGAGCCTCGACCTCACTACGAGGAGCATTGACTGAAGCACATCCCAGATATGTCAGCTGGCTAAACACAATACTGTCCTCATCTGGGATTGGGCTAATGGGACTGCCTTCTGAGGACGATTCATCGCCTGCAGACATATTGAATAGAGAGGATCAGGGTCATTTATATATATTTCCAACATAAAGAAGTTATAACTATGTGTTTGATGTGTGCGGTATTAAGAAATTGAAATTTGCAATAGTTCAAAGTCATCTCTCACTTTATCATACAGTCTGAACATTCTATCAAGAAACTGACTTAGAAGTTTAATCACTTAACAACTCCCTGGGAACGTTTTCATCAGCTTGCACATTAGCTCTTCAATTAGTAATGTATTATCAACGTGCAGTAATGAGCCGTGGGATATAGATTGTGGCTACTTTACATCCATAGTCTCATGGGGCAGGAGATAAACAAAATATATACAACACTCAGAATAAGACAGACAAATCAACAACCACATGACAAGATAGAAAGGGAAAGCTTATATAACCAGACAAAACATACGATAAAAACAGATACAAGTATTTCAGTCTCTTTATGTGTAAAATGCAGACAGTTAGTGCTCTGAATTTACATCAATGGGTGCCTTAACAACAAAATAAGCACCAATTTGTGTCTCTAATAAGGGTTAATAATAAAAATTTCCAAACATAACATTTTGATCAAATGAAGATGGCTACAGGCCTTTAATAAAAGTGATTTAGTTTTTCTGACCTCGATATGACCGTTCATTCAGCTCACTCTCCTGAGCGGTCTGCACTGGTAAAGCCATTTCCACAGAGGTTGGGCTGGAGCTCAAAGGGTCACAACCTGGTGGGACCATGGAAACAATGAGATGTCCACTCAGACCTTCCTTCCCCGGGTCAGACATGGGCGGCTCCATCAAGATGTCCTCCAGCTCTCTCTGCAGCTGCTGCTCACTTCCATTACCCACGATCTGAACACAAGTGACAAACACAGACAAGAAGACATCCAACACACACACATACAACACTTTAGAGGATTTCAAAACAGTTAACAGTCTTTTGATTTTGAATGGATAAAATAAATACTCAAAACATATTTAAATTATTCAAAACTTCTTAGCGGAGTAATAAAGGAAGGATACAATTATAACATGCTTGAAAAGTAAATCTGGCACTTCTTCATGTATTCAAGTCATTCAAGTGTGCTGCCCAAAAAGTTTTGTGCAGAGAGAAAGTGTATTAATATGATCTTCTTCTGTAAAGCATGTAAGATCAAGTTGTTAGTGCAACAAAAGCATGCTCTCGCTAACTTACCTGCAATGTGGTTAAGAAAATAATGTAGTTTTGTATGTAGTGTTTGCGATGGCAGATGTAATATTTTACTACAAATACATCCAACCAGCCAGTGTTCCCTCTGCCTTTCCGACTTCCAGTTACTCACATGGCAATAAAAAGGATTCTGATTCTGTAGTTGCAAAAAACAACTTCTTTCTGTCTCTTTAATTCTAAGAGGAGTATGAATTACAATTATTGGGAGCAGCAAGAAGAAAGGATGAGCAAAAGATGGCTAATATAGACTTTATGCATACAAGATTGTTATATCAACAGCTGCCAGAAACACATAAGCATGGATATCTTATATTATTTGCTTCGGCTTCAGCTTCAGCCAAGGTTTCAGCGAGTTATGGCAACCTCAACTGGAAGTGTGTGCAAGCTACAACCATCATCAGTCAACAGCCAGCAAATATACAACAAGCACCAGAGATATTCACCACCACATTGTGACACAACAGAAAGGAAATGCACAGACTAGAGAGAGAGCACGAGAGGAAAAAGGACAGGGTGCAAAGAGACTGACCTTAAAGCTGACCCCTTCCTCAGAAATCACCTGCATAACAAATCATAAGTTTAGACACACTCTTCTCTTGTTCAGAGTGGCCTGACTCAAAAGTGGCCTGGATGTGTGGGGAAAATCAAAATGTGATGCCTGAAATGACAGTGAACGGGAATGAGTGCAATTCTACTTTCACCACATTTAACCAGAAAAGCCAGGAGAGCACTCACAGACGCTTTACACAGAGGACAGGACACTACACTTAAACTAACATCCTACCACCATAAGCAGCTGTCCATTTCAATAAAGCAGCAATTCTTTTGAATTGTACTGTATAGAACATTGGCAAGTCTCTACCACCATCGTGTGGTCACATTAAACTAGTTTCTGATTTTCAACCTAAGGAGGAAGTACAGTAAATAAATAACCCATCACACTTCTTCTTTTACATCACAAACATTAAAAAGTATTAAACCTTAAAATTCTAATTCAGCATTTGTATTATATTGTATTTGATTTAGAGCTGATTTTTCAGAGTGAAACGGCCAATCAGCTTTGTGCCCAAAGAGTCAACTAATAACTTACATGGCTCTTCTTTAAATGTTTATATACATAAAAAATGTTTTGACAGATGAAGACAGTGCATTGCTGTCTGATAACTGTCTCAAAGATCAGTGTTTACAGTATAATTTCTGTATTGGAAACAGATTTTATCAAAGAGAAATGTGTACCCTAGCTTTGAATAGGCGTGCAATCCAATAGAACATAATAAATAATACAATTCCATCGCAAATAATTAACATCCAGACATGGTCTATTTCTAGCCCAGTCAAAACACTCACTGAAGGCACTAAAGGAAACTATAATTGAAACACCATTAAAGAAAAATAAGTTAGTTCTTATGGTTAGAATGTCAGAAAAATTAAACACAAGTGAAAGGAAAAGGACAACTGAAGAAGTCACATTAATGCACGTGTGAACAAAGCAAATGGTACAATAATGACGGCCTTGGCTTGAGTTACTTTTTATGGCATTGAATATTATTTTATTTGTACTTATTTTTTAAATAGAAAATTGTCGTGCAAAAAGTAAAACCAGTCCGCATCTGCCAAACCGGCCTTACCTTCAGTCCGGTCTTTTCATCGTCACTACCATTATTAGTGGAGGAGGGTGTGTCGTCGCCCAACCGAGACACGAGCACAAAGTCCTCACTGTTGAGCGTGGAAACAGAGTCTGAAGACACACTGATCTTCCCAACGGAGCCCTTATCATCCATAGCGGCTTCACATTAAGCCAGGGTTCACACAGCTCGTGAATGGAAGGCAGGAGGAGGTCAAGATGACAAGAAAAATCACCTGAAATCGGAAAGAATAGACAGAAAAAAGCAAAGATTGATTAATATATGTTCAAAGGCAGTGCTCCAAACTTTGGGAACTGCTGCTTTTGACCTCAAGTGGAGGTGCTTCAAGTACTTTATTAAATAACCACTTATTGATTCTGTGTGGTTTGGCAACATCACAGCCAAAGAAAGGAGATCCAGACTCTTAAAGCCACTCTTTTGTAATTTGTACAGCTGCTCCATATGAAAAAAAACATGTTAACCAAAAACAAATGTGACATTTCTAAGAATATTTACCTCCACCATGTTTTTGAATTGTGTCATAGACTTAGAATTTGAATTATAAATGTCCATGAGAGCTGAGTGCTCTCCATGTCAATGCACCATCTTGAAACACATTGGTTGATAAGGGACAAAAAGAATGCAAGAATTGTGTTTTCGTTTCACAGGTGCTACTTATTACGTTGCTTCCACTGTGTCCTCACAAGTTTGAAGTAGGAACCATGGAGGACCACAGTTATGTAAAAGAACGACATGAACAACAATCTTTTAGAAAAATAAAATAAAATGTCCACAAAACAATCGCCAGAATATCAACAGCGTGAGTGAATGTTCAGTTTTCCTACCGTGATGCAGTGCCTGGTGAAAGATAAGGATCAGAGTTTTTAGCTACAGTTCTGCCACGGCTGTGTCCAATGTCCTGGCTTCTCGGATCATCGTGGTTCTAAGCTCCCACAGATCTCGCATTTCTCCAAAACTATATATTATAATAGATCCATGGTAAAACACCTTCAACGCAGACTGTTTACATTTTGCCCATTGGTTGCTCAAGGCACATTTGTGGCGAGGTAGTGTATCATTTATCAAACTTTTTTCCTTAGTGGTCTGGTAAAGTACCCGGTGTTGGGGACCACTGTCAAACAAGACATATGGTTCTCAGAGGCCTCCATAGTGTTGGTGGTAGACTTGCACTATATGATCTCAACACGGTGGCTGAGTGGATAGCACTCTCGCCTCTCAGCAAGAAGGTCCTGGGTTCGAATCCCGGTCGGACCAGGGCCTTTCTGAGTGGAGTTTGCATGTTCTCCCTGTGTCTGCGTAGGTTTCCTCCGGGTACTCCGGTTTCCCCTACCACTAAAAATATGTTCAATAGTTCTGGCATGCGCCTCCTGTACTGGCCCCGCTCCCATCTCTGTGTGGAGTGAGAGACTAATGCCCAAAAAAAAAAATTAACAATTGTAAACCGCTTTGAGACTCAGATCTGCAGTGAAAAGGTGGTATATAAATAAAGATTACTTACTTACTTACTTACACTAGATGGGAGTAAAAACTACACAGTGTATCTTTACACAGAGCTCTTCAAATAATCCATGACTCTTCTGGCCACCCTAGAAAAGCCATGTGTGTCCCAGCTTCTGCCTTCTGGTAGACGCCTTCTCATCATTCTTTGAGATGCAAAAGACATCTCGTTTTGCTAACAGCTTCTTTCCACAAGCTGTCATCAGTTTAAACAAAGTACTTAAATGATCTAGCACTTGTACTGAAGGTGTTTTTGTTGATCGATTTCACAATTGTTTCCTTCACTTATTTTTAGCTTGTTCTAGTCCTTTACTTTTTACCTTGTTTTATGAAACCTAAGGAACACTACAAGGCAAATGAGGGTTAAATCGCCATTTCATAATATAGTACGACAATAAAAAGTAAATGTGTTTAAATTCAAACATTCCTTTCTCCCCTCTCTCCTTCCTCTCAGCTGAATGTTCTGTTCTGGACTGCCAGCTGGGCCCTATGCAACTCACAAACAACCAAGAAGACTAGTGTTACAAAGTGTTACACAGGGCAATTTACAAAACCACGACAGAAATGTGAAAAAACAAAACAATACACAAGTAAAATGTGTCTGATAACACATTCAGTGAGCATGATGGTGAAACTAGCTGTAGATGCTCATGTTTTACAGTCTTATGACACAGCAGAGGCCTAAGGAATAAAGTACCATTAAATATGCTTTTCCAATGTGCATGACTGAACAAACACCAGCACAGTTCATATCAATTATAAAACATTTAAATTACATTTTCTGACTTGGGAACATAGAATGATACAAAGATAGAACTATGGCTGTAGTTAACGATTATTCGGGTAGTTACGCGTTGATTCATTCGATTCATCGATAAGGAAAGGCACTTGTTTTGCCAAGGTCTCGACTCTGGTGCACAATGTTTCCTGTTAACAGTAAGTTAACAGTAAGTTAACAGTAAGTTAACAGTAAGTTAACAGTAAGTTAACAGTAAGTTAACAGCAAGTTAACAGTAAGTTAACAGTAAGTTAACAGTAAGTTAACAGTAAGTTAACAGTAAGTTAACAATAAGTTAACAATAAGTTAACAGTAAGTTAACAGTAAGTTAACAGTAAGTTAACAGCAAGTTAACAGTAAGTTAACAGTAAGTTAACAGTAAGTTAACAGTAAGTTAACAGTAAGTTAACAGTAAGTTAACAATAAGTTAACAGTAAGTTAACAGTAAGTTAACAGTAAGTTAACAGTAAGTTAACAGTAAGTTAACAGTAAGTTAACAATAAGTTAACAGTAAGTTAACAGTAAGTTAACAGTAAGTTAACAGTAAGTTAACAGTAAGTTAACAGTAAGTTAACAGTAAGTTAACAGTAAGTTAACAGTAAGTTAACAGTAAGTTAACAGTAAGTTAACAGTAAGTTAACAATAAGTTAACAGTAAGTTAACAGTAAGTTAACAGTAAGTTAACAGTAAGTTAACAGTAAGTTAACAGTAAGTTAACAATAAGTTAACAGTAAGTTAACAGTAAGTTAACAGTAAGTTAACAGTAAGTTAACAGTAAGTTAACAGTAAGTTAACAGTAAGTTAACAGTAAGTTAACAGCAAGTTAACAGTAAGTTAACAGCAAGTTAACAGTAAGTTAACAGTAAGTTAACAGTAAGTTAACAGTAAGTTAACAGTAAGTTAACAGCAAGTTAACAGTAAGTTAACAGTAAGTTAACAGTAAGTTAACAGCAAGTTAACAGTAAGTTAACAGTAAGTTAACAGTAAGTTAACAGTAAGTTAACAGTAAGTTAACAGTAAGTTAACAGTAAGTTAACAGTAAGTTAACAGTAAGTTAACAGTAAGTTAACAATAAGTTAACAGTAAGTTAACAGTAAGTTAACAGTAAGTTAACAGTAAGTTAACAGTAAGTTAACAGTAAGTTAACAGTAAGTTAACAATAAGTTAACAGTAAGTTAACAGTAAGTTAACAGTAAGTTAACAGTAAGTTAACAGTAAGTTAACAGTAAGTTAACAATAAGTTAACAGTAAGTTAACAGTAAGTTAACAGTAAGTTAACAGTAAGTTAACAGTAAGTTAACAATAAGTTAACAGTAAGTTAACAGTAAGTTAACAGTAAGTTAACAGTAAGTTAACAGTAAGTTAACAGTAAGTTAACAGTAAGTTAACAGTAAGTTAACAGCAAGTTAACAGTAAGTTAACAGTAAGTTAACAGTAAGTTAACAGTAAGTTAACAGTAAGTTAACAGTAAGTTAACAGTAAGTTAACAGCAAGTTAACAGTAAGTTAACAGTAAGTTAACAGTAAGTTAACAGTAAGTTAACAGTAAGTTAACAGTAAGTTAACAGTAAGTTAACAGTAAGTTAACAGCAAGTTAACAGTAAGTTAACAGTAAGTTAACAGTAAGTTAACAGTAAGTTAACAGTAAGTTAACAGTAAGTTAACAGCAAGTTAACAGTAAGTTAACAGTAAGTTAACAATAAGTTAACAGTAAGTTAACAGTAAGTTAACAGTAAGTTAACAGTAAGTTAACAGCAAGTTAACAGCAAGTTAACAGTAAGTTAACAGCAAGTTAACAGTAAGTTAACAGTAAGTTAACAGTAAGTTAACAGTAAGTTAACAGTAAGTTAACAGTAAGTTAACAGTAAGTTAACAGTAAGTTAACAGCAAGTTAACAGTAAGTTAACAGTAAGTTAACAGTAAGTTAACAGTAAGTTAACAGTAAGTTAACAGTAAGTTAACAATAAGTTAACAGTAAGTTAACAGTAAGTTAACAATAAGTTAACAGTAAGTTAACAGTAAGTTAACAGTAAGTTAACAGTAAGTTAACAGTAAGTTAACAGTAAGTTAACAGTAAGTTAACAGTAAGTTAACAGTAAGTTAACAGCAAGTTAACAGTAAGTTAACAGTAAGTTAACAGTAAGTTAACAGTAAGTTAACAGTAAGTTAACAGCAAGTTAACAGTAAGAGCTTTGTGTCTTTGACTGAACATAACACATTGTGCAGGTTACTAAGACACATTATCAACATCATCTCTATCATGGTAAATATATTCCACCTGTCACCATGTTACAGTCGGGTCCATTCAAGAAGATAAATGGTATATTACAAAGCTGTGAATAATGAAGCAACATGTAGAATAGAGAGGTATATTTACTGACTTACAGAGTTAGCTTAGATGCTAACACCTTAGCCATCACAATAGTCCGAGAGTCCACATAGAATAAACATTAGGCAGCTGTGTTATGAAGACACCAACCACACAATTAGCTTAAGAAATTGTTTGCAGATAACCGATTAAATTAAATAATTGATGCCATTGTTGACATAGGGAGTGAGATGTAAACTCTTCTGCTTGCTAGCGTCATGCTACCTTGGTAAGGCTAGTTAGAACTTAACGTTTTCGATTTGTTTTTTGTTTTTTTGAGTACATGCACATTCAATGTTGGACTTTGGTATAGGTGATGTAACACAAAACGTACCCTTTCCCCATAAATGCGTTTATTTCCACCGAGGTGCACAAAATTGTTCCCGTATCAGGCAACTGCATCCCTCCTTCCGAGCTGTAAACACCACCCGGCACACTGCGCATGCGCGTGTCACCGGCGCTACAGAAAGGCGTTGGCAGTTCTCTGGTTGGC